GAGAGAGAGAGATAGAGAGGGAGGGGAGGGGAGGGAGGGAGGGAGGGAATGTTTTTTTGTCGGAATCCACCCAAGTCAGTGGCCTGATTGGCCGAAAGGACAGGCATGTGTGTTTAATCCCCAACCTGGGAGATGGCATATGGCTCTGGAGAAAACGGAACCCCGATCTCTCATTTTAGGTAAGTTGTAGACTTAAAAGTGAGGCACCAGTGATACATGAGCGATTAGGGTTTGGTGTATTTGAAGGATTGCTGGTCCAAATAGATATAGGTAATGATGACTTTCTCTCCAGAAGATTTCTATACCGACCATGTTTCTGGGCAGGTCCAAGGTTAAAAGTTTGGTATTGAGTTCCAGTCAAGTGTGGAAGAGAATATTATGTCCAACTCAAGTGTCAGACTTTTAGACTTTGTGGGGAATAAAGGACTTGGAAGGCAGTGAGTACTCAGGCAGTCTCACAGCGGCACTGGGAGCTGCAGTTCAGGCACTGTCTGGCATCTGCTTCATCGTCTCCCCTGCTTTCCTCTTCAGAAGCACCTGCCATCCCAGCTGCCTTTATTGCATGGTGGCTTTTTTTTTTTTTAAATTCTTTGACAGTTTCATACATGTATATACTGAACTATGGCCATCTTCACATCTATATCTCACCTATCTCCCTCTCCTGCTGACATCCTCCTTCCCAACATGACCCTTAGGACTTGGGGTATGTGTGCATGTGTGTGTATGTCCCACTGAGTTTACTTAAGATTTTTTTACATGAGCATCCATGGGGGGTTATTCACCGAAACATGAACAACATTCAGTTGCTACACCATTACTATCAATGTCACCTTTTCACCCCAGTGCCCACTAACTGACCATAGTTCCTCTGTGAGGGATGGGGCCACATTGACTCCTCTTTGGTGCATGACAAAATGGTGCCTGGACCAGTCCTGTGCAGGTTTTATGCAGGTAAGCACAGCTGCTGTGAGCTCCTGAGTGTGATGCCCATGCCGTGACCAGAGCCCTGTTTTGCCTCATTCCTCCTCTGCCTCTGAGACTTAGAGTCTTCCTGTCCCCCCCTTCCAGGATGCTCTCGAGCCTTGGAGGAGGTGATACAGGTGACTTGTATAGGATCAAGCATTCCACAGTCACCGTCAGCACTTTGAAGAGTTCTGGGTCTCTGCATTCACCACCATTCATTGCGTAAAGGAGTTCCTCTGAGGAAAACTGAGAGCAGAACGAGACACAGACTCTTCACCAGGTTTCCAGTACGAGGCTTGAGTCCCCTCCTATGGAAAGGGCCTTACATCCAAATAGAAGTTTGATTACTCCCATAAAAGTCATGCTACCTTTGCGACAGCAAGCATACCTTGCAGGTCGCTATTGTAACCGGTCGAGTCCCCAGCTGGGTTGAACCACCGGTGATCTTTCTCTGCCAGCTACTTTCTAGTACCTTTTGGCACCATGAGAGCTAGCTGTCAGGGAGGAAACTTCCAGCCCCAAGTTGTGCAGAGAGCTGCAGGGTTGCAGCTTTTATGAGCGGCCTCCCAGATTAGGATGGGCTTTGGAGGCGTAGCGTCTAAGTCATTTTTGCTCCTGTGAGTAACACTAGCAAACACATTGGCTCACTATGCTGGACCGTAGTGGGATCCTTTGGTCTGTCTGCTTCTCTAATCTGGGGTGAGTGGGTGTTCATTTCCATCTGTTGTAAGATGTTTTTTCTCTTTGGACTCTTTTGGGGAGGGCCTGTCACCCAGCTCCCAAATGAACCACACACAGAATCTTATATTGTTTCTTGCCTGCTTTTCTTAAATTAAGAACCAAATGGGAGAAGTGACCAAAGTCTGCCAGCCTCCTTCATGGGCACTCCTGAAGTGACCCGAGTTCTAGACTCCATTTCTTCAAGTTTCTCCCTTGCCCTCCTTGCATTGCCTCAGATAGCAGCACGGTTCCACTTGAGCCTTTGAAGGACATCTCGAGCCAACAGTTGGTGTGTTTGTATGTGTCCACATGTGTATTGTTTTTCAGAACAGCATCCTTTATAATTGGCTCAAACTTCAAATGACTCGAAAGCATTCAGCAGTAGAATGTGTAAGTAAATTGTGGTGTAGGCCTGGCTGATGTGTAACAGCGAGCGTTGAACAACAAAGAAATAGGTCATATGTAGTGTATTTTCATGAACATTCACAAATAGTTCTAGATATTCCATAGGAGTAAAAGTAAAAGCCGGGCGGTGGTGGTGCATGTTTTTAATCCCAGCACTTGGGAGGCAGAGGCAGGTGGATCTCTGTGAGTTCAAGACCAGCGTAGTCTACAGAGCTAGTTCCAGGACAGGCTCCAAAGCTACAGAGAAACTCTGTCTTGAAAAACCAAAAAGTAAAATAAAATAAGATATAAAATAAAACTGAATGCTATGAAGTCTTCTTAATTTTTTAAAATATATTTTTAATTAAAATAGAATTATGCCTTTTCCCTCTTTCTTTTCTCTAGCCCCTCCCAGGTACCCTCTCTCAAACTTCTTCCATGCCTTCCACGTTCAAGTTGATAGCCTCATTTTTGATTATTATTATTATATGTGTGTGTATATATGCATGTATATTCACAAATTATATAAATCTATATCCTGCTGAATCCATTTTTATTGGTGGTGTATCTATGGTTTTTAAGATGACCACTCTGCCCTGGATAACCAATAGGGGCTCGTCTCGAGGACAGGCTACTTCTCATTCTTTCAGAAGTCGCCAGTTGCCTGTAGTTTGTTGTCTAGAGTGAGACCCTGCAAAATGTCCCCCCTTCAATGTTGACATGTCCATTGATATTGCCATTGTTCCAGCCTTGTTTATGCAGCCATTTCTAGACTTCCTAGTGTGTGCTGGCACTTAGAATCATCCTTCTACCCCTTCTTCCTTGATGTCAATCTGAACTGTCAATGCAGGAGCTGAGTGTATGCATTGGAGCAGAACTCCCCCAAATCGGTTATCTCTACACTATATTTGGTTGTGGTTCCCTGTGCTGCTCTCCGTTGGCTGTAAAGAGAGGCGTCTTTGGTGAGGGTGGTAGTCACACTTACCTAAGATATAAAGATACGGTTTAGAATGCAGTAAGGGTTACACTGCTCTCGCAGCGGCACTTGTGGGTTCTTCTCTCAGGTTCATGACCTCACCAGCCCCTCGAAGTTGGCCAGGTTTTCCTCCTTTTGTTGTAAATCAATGAAAATGAAATACACCAACTCTGATAAATATTGCTCCTGACTCTGCATCTATAGTTGTCATCATGAAAGAGAAATCACAAGACTTAGTATGACTCCAGTTAGATGAAACTCAGTCAAAAACTAAACCGCACGATTTGAGCCTCATGCATAGGTGGTAAGCTCTCAGAAAGGACTGGGGACCCTGCCAGACACTCAGGGTCTCCTGGAGTGAGAAAGGAGCTGTGTCTGGGAGGGGACATTCAGAGACATTCCTGGATGCCAGCAATCCCCATCCCAGTGAAATAAAACAAGTTCTTCAAAGCTTCTTTGAACACTGTGGGAGATGTAGGATTCATTTTGTATATATTTTGCTTTAATTAATACTAATGGGTTTTGTTTGTTTGTTTTTGAAACAGGGTCTAGGTTTTTGAGACAGCCTTGACTGTCCTAGAACTTGATTTGTAGATCAGGTTGGCCTCAAACCCATAGAGATCCATTTGATTCTGCCTCCCAATGCTGGGTTTAAAAGCATGCACCACCATGTCTGGTTGCAATTTATATTTTTCTTGCCTTTTTCCTTTTCTATTTGCTGTCGTTTCAGTGGCGAGGGAGTGAGGGGACGATTCATGTGCTCAGGCTCTTACATGTACTGGGAATTCTAGCGCATTTTTCTATTAAAGGAGAATTCTGTGTATATCTGAAATTGATGAAGTTTTAAGGTAATTAAACATGTATCACCTAGCCAATTCTTTCACATAGGATTGAAAGGCTAATAAATTCCTGGCCAAGAGTCCATTTCCAAAATAATTAAAAGTCCAGATTTGTTTAAATGACACCATGACCTTATGACCTTTTTTTCCTTTTTCTTTCTTTCTTTTTCTATTGTTAAAGAGTATATTTATATCTTTTTGATTTTTTAGATTGTCAGCCATGCCTTTAGTGAAGAGAAGCATCGAACCCCGGCACTTGTGCCGTGGAGCTCTACCCGAGGGGATCACCAGTGAGCTTGAATGTGTAACTAACAGCACTCTGGCTGCCATCATCCGCCAGCTAAGCAGTCTGAGTAAGTCCCCACTTCCTCCCCTGCCCCCTACTCGCCCCCACTTATTGGCAGTTCAAGACTGACAGCGTTGAAGAAAAGAATCCTCCTCCATCCTCCTCCATCCGTCGTGGCCAATGACTGTGTCTACCCTAGGCTCCTGATTCTGTGTTTACAGTTGACATCATGAAAATATGAGCTTGTACATCATTAGAGAGACCCAAATGTGTTGACGTTCACATCGTGCTCATTTTTAATGCCTTTTAAGATTAACTTGATTGTGTACTAAATTTTTTTCTTTAGCAAACTGTCTTGTTAAATTTGACAGGACCAAGTTTTTTTTTTTAACCTGTTAGGTTGAATGGTAGTTAGCATCACAGTGTAACAGTATGCCGTTGGTGTTCAACAGATATTCACCCAATTCCAAATAGAAAATAACCAGGTAAGCTGATTATCGCATACATATTACATATGTTATACCTATATGGAGTTGATTGATAGTGGATACACCCTTAGGGAAGGAAAGAGTCCATCATTCTGTCAATGAAAGTTAATATTAAATACCCGAGGAATATTCTTCTTGGTACTCAAATATGCATGCAACATCTTTTTTCTTCAAAGCTTTCTGATATTGTACTATTTTTTTTTCTACTTTGACTTTCTCATCCTGACCTTGTTTTCTCACTTTGTCTCCACTCCTTTTTAGTGGTGACAGATTTTCACACTTAAAGTTTGTAGGAACTGATAATAGCTGGAAAGTGTCCTTGAATTTCTATATTCTGGTAGCCTTAAGCACAGAAGGTAAGGTGTGTGTGTGTGTGTGGGAGAGAGAGAGAGAGAGACAGAGAGAGAGAGAGAGAGAGAGAGAGAGAGAGAGAGAGAGAGAGAGAGATTCAAGTGCTTTAGTGTATTTATTTTGGAGGAGAGCCATTGCAGGTAACTGTTTCTTTATATGAATTGTATTTGGTACTGATGTCTTTTAAGGAGATTTGTTAATTAAGGGAAACATAACTTGGAAATTGATTAACATGTATTTTGAAATGGAATTCCTCAGGAATCTAAGCTCATTACAATTGACTTTGGGGTAGTGGTTATTCATAGAATACGTACATTTCTGTAGTTGCAGAAAAATCCTAGCAAGTTACTGATAGGCACACTTTCTGTTTGCCTTTGTGTTTGTGTGCTTTTGCATGTTCGCTTTCTTGTTGTAGCTAGAACGTCTGCTGACAAAGTATAAGTGACAAAAACTGATTTAAACTTAAGATTTAATAACCAGGCTATCCCTTGAACTGTGATATTCAGCAGAATGTTATATTAATCAGGTTTATTCTCCCTGTTTTGACATGTAACTGGCTTTCCCACCTGTTTCTTTGCACGCAGCTCTTGCAGTATGTACTCCCCAAATCCCCTCCAGATGTAGTCAAGTCTCTGTGCTTAAAACCTGTCGGTGTCTAAATTACACACAAAGGAACATTCATAAAGCAGCTAACCTTGGGATAAGGATATTCAGGAACCAGGAAATCATGAATTGTGGGATTCCTTTCAATGTGGAGGGGAACAGTAGAAAAATTGGCCATCATGGTTAGGGGGAGAATTTTAATGGGCGCTAAAGTATTTGCCTTCACCTTACATTGGCTATCCTTCTCCTGAGAGCAGAGGCTTGCTGGGGACCCACCATTTTCTTGTGGTTCGAGGGTAGACAAAGACACCAGAATTCCCCAAGGAATAGTTGTTGTCTGTCACTCACCTGGTCATTCTGATTCTCCTAAGTTTATTGGAAGCTCAAGATATTGAAGATTGAAGATACTGTTTAAAACTTGAAGATTCTGGTCCTGTATATTGAATAGGATCCAGAGCCTTGTACCCTGTGTGTCTCTGGGATGTCGGCACATTCCTTTTACAGCCTAATTGAGCACCAGCTTTCAAGGCAAAGGAGTTTTACAGCATTGTTTTTCAGTGGGTTTTTAAGGCAACCTTTCCAATGAGCAGATATTGACTGCTACTACTGTGTCTACAGTCATAGACAGGAAGGATGATACTTGTAATTTGAACAGTGTTTGTTTGAAAGACAAAGGCCCACGAGCCTTCAGAGTTTATCCAGTAACATTTACAAAGTATTCGTAAATTTTCAGATTATTTTTGAATGGCACTGACTTCCAGTTTAGGAGACTGGAGGAGTGGGTAAGGAAGAAAGCCCTGCCGACACAGCTTTGACTAAGTCTGTGTTGCCTGGTGTCCAGCTGAGGAGCGCTGGGGCATTTCCTTCAGATAATGACCATCAGTTCTGCACACCAATTAACATGAAACCGAGACTGCTTCTCCACCATCTTCCTTGATTAATAATCCCAAGTTCTGGCTCTCTCAGTCGGCTGCTCAGTTAAAATTACAGTAGTGCTTGCAGTCAGCTCCTTGCTGGTATTGTAGTGTTATGTTTTTATAAGTTCATACTTCATTAAACTTTCAAGACAGATGCTTTAAAAAAACTATCTTTTTTTTTTCATTTTACATACTAATCCCTGTTCCAATCTCTCCCCTCCTCCCATTCCTTCCACCTACTCCCTACCCTTACCCCACCCCCCTGCACTCCTCAGAGAGAGTAAGGCACATTGCTCTGGGGAAGGTCCAAGTCCCTCCCTACTGTATCCAGGCTGAACTAGGTATCCATCCAAAGAGACATTGAAATCCCAAATAATCCAATTAAAAAATGGGGTACAGAACTAAACAGAGAATTCTCAACAGAAGAATCTCATATGGTTCAAAGACACTTAAGGTTCAACATCCTTAGCCATCAGGGAAATGCAAATCAAAACGACTCTAAGATACCATCTTACATCAGGCAGAATGGCTAAGATCAAAAACACCAATGATAGCTTATGCTGGAGAGGATGTGGATTAAGGGGAACACTCATCCATTGCTGGTGGGAATGCAAACTAGACAACCACCCTGGAAATCAGTATGGCAGTTTCTCAGAAAATTGGGAATCAACCTACTTCAGGACCCAGCAACACCACTCTTGGGCATATACCCAAAAGATGCTTAATCATACTAAAGGGCATTTGTTCAACTATGTTCATAGCAGCATTATTTGTAATATCCAGAACCAAGAAAGATGCTTTAAAGAATGGAAAGATGAGCCACCAAATAGAAAAATATGTTTTTGTCTTTTTTTTTTTTTTTCGAGAAAGGGTTTCTCTGTAGCTTTGGTGCCTGTCCTGGAACTAGCTCTTGTAGACCAGGCTGGCCCCGAACTCACAAAGATCCGCCCGCCTCTGCCTCCCGAGTGCTGGGATTAAAGGCGTGCGCCACCACCGCCCGGCTGAAAAATATGTTTTATACACATATCTGATAAAAGATTTATCAAAGAAATTTAAAGATTTAGTAATAAGCAAGGCAGAGAACTAATCAAGAAGAGAACAGATACTGGGGGATGGAGAGATGGCTCAGTCATAAGAGCACTGGCTGTCCCGACAGGACCTGGACTCAGTTCCAGCACCCACATGGAAGCCACACCATCTGTAACTCTAGTTCCAGAGGAATCTGACATCCACTTCTGGTCTCTGTGAGCACTGCATGGATATGGTGCATATGTATACATGCAGGCAAACACTCAGGTGCATAAAATAAAAATAAATCTTTTTCAAAAAGTGGATAAATAACAATATACCTTCACCAAGGAAGAATGAGATAACAAATATGCACATAAGAATATACTCAACACCAGTAGAATATGACTTCAATATTATTTTCTTTTTAAAGTAAGAGGAACATTGGGAGTCTATGCCGCAGAGACAGGAGTGACTATTACTGAATTTCTCTTTGTTCTTGTGAATGTTCCCACGATGTCACAAAGAAAGAAGTTAGTGTTCCTACACACATTTACAACACATTATACTTTGTAGTATCAGTTATGTGTAAAACTATAGCACAAAGTTATACAAAGTATACAATATACAACATTGCATCAACCAAATGAAGTTACTGAGGATGCCTTGTATCTGTTTTTATAAAACTGACTTCTCAGTATACAAAATAGCCCATCCTCCCGACATAATAATTCTGTGGGTTTTTCTAAGATATGTTGTTAATAGCTGAGAATTATTATGTGTGTGGAATTATTTAACCATTTTTCAGTGTTAGAATACATGAGACCTCTTTGTTGGGGGACATTTTTTCCTTGTTTATTTATTTATTTATTTTTTTAAATAAAAGTTTATTAATTTATAAAAGTTTCCATTTCTGCCCCTCCTCCCAACACCCTCCCACCCCCCCACGCCCTCTCCTCCTCCCTCTGCATCCCTAAGAGCAGTCAGGGTTTCCTGCCCTGTGGGATAAATTTATTTTACAAAACATAGCAGATCTTTGGGTGTTTTGGCATCTTAATAGCCACTAACTTACTCTTAATGAGAGATAGTTTCTGTAAATGACCTAGACTTCTATGAACTCATTCATTTAAAAGTTGCCGCTCTCCCATAGTCACTGCAGTCCTCTTATAAGAGAGATTACCAAGTTAAAACAGTGAGGCTAAAATACATATAATTTAATGGTAAATACACAGACTTAAAATCAGGGGAAGAAAATATATCATTTAATCGCAATACATAGGAAATCTGGTTTGGTTAATATCAGGCAGAGGAGACTAGAAAAGAGATGGAGGTATTTAGTTTTCATAGTGATAAAAGGGTAAAGAACATGGACCAGTTTTCAGTGTGTGCATCTAGAGGAAACACTTGAATATACAGCTATAAACAACTTTCCGAGTAGGGCTCCAGCCACACACATTACCCTCTGACCTCCCTATGTGCAGGGTAGCATGCGTACACATGCACATGTGCACACATTTAAATTTTTTTAAAATTTATTTTTATGTATATGAGTATTTTGCCTGCATTTATTTCTGTGGACCACATATGTGCAGTGCCCATGGAGGCCACAAGAGGGCATCAGATACCCTCTAACTGGAGTTGCAAAGGTTGTGTGCTGCCATGTGAACTCTGGGAACTGAACCCAGGGCCTCTGTAAGAGC